ACAATTGAAAGAATCCGATTACAACACAATTGGAGAGGACTAACTAAAGACGTAGAACAATACATCGCGAAATGTGAATCGTGTCAAAAAAATAAATTATCAAGAAAAAATAAAGTTCCTTTAATAATTACCGACACACCTAATAAACCATTTGAAAAATGCGCACTAGATATAGTCGGACCACTAACTATTACTAATAACGGAAATAAATATTTATTAACCTTTCAAGACCAAAAAATTTTAACTAAATTTAGTAAAGCTATTCCGATCCCGAATCAAGAAGCGAATACTATCAGTAAGGAATTCATTACAAAGATAATACTTGAACACGAAATACCGGAAAAAATTTTGACAGACCAAGGAACCAATTTTATGAGCGAGATATTTAAAAATACGTGCAAACTATTAAAAACAAATACACAGAACGATGCAGCCTGTGCCGATCAGGACACAGAAAGATGCAACCTGTCCAGTTGGACACTGAAAGATGCGACCTGTTCAGTTGGACACAGGAATAAGCGACCTGTTCAATTGGACACAGGAATAAGCAACCTGTTTAGCTGGACACAGAAAGATGCAACTTGTTCAGTTGGACAAAGGAATAAGCAACCTATACAGTTGGACACAGAAAGATGCAACCTGTTCAGATGGACACAGCAATGAGAAACATGTTCAGTTGGACACAGAAAGATACAACCTGTTCAGTTGGACACAGGAACAGGCAACCTATTCAGTTGGTCACAGAAATAAGGGACCTGTTCAGTTGGACGCAGAAAGATGTGACCTGGTAAGTTTGACACAGGAATAAGCGACCTGTTCAATTCGACACCGGAATAAGCAACATATTCAGTTAGACACAGAAAGATGCGACCTGTTCAGTTGGACACAGGAATAAGCAACATGCTCAGTTGGAACCAGAAAGATGCAACCTGTTCAGTTGGACACAGGAATAAGGGACCTGTTCGTTTGGACACAGAAAGATGCAACTTGTTCAATTGGACACAGGAATAAGCAACCTATTCAGTTGGACACAGAAAGATGCAACCTATTCAGTTGGACACAGAAAGATGTGACCTGGTTAGATTGACACAGGAATAAGCGACCTGTTCAATTGGACACCGGAATAAGCAACCTGTTCAGTTTACGCTGGTCTAAACAATGCGGTTAAATATATTTGCTATTAATTATTTCTATGCACATATAGAACATCATTTTGGCATGGAAGGTAAACGATTATTGAAGAGTTGGACTAATGTCTCAAAAAATATTATTATTTGCAATTCTCAACTGTTTTCTTAATAGATGCAAACAACACAAACTTCTACCGGCACATTTGCGTTACAATAAAATTAACACGTCTCTCACTTTTTTAACAACAAAATTAGGATCTCGCATAACAAAGTTACTTCTGCTTTTCTTTTCAAATCTCTTTATCTTGAAATTGAAGATTTACACCGTAAATTGACTTCGCTACACAGATTCAGATTATCCTTACATTGCAAATTAGTTAACTTTTTCCACGAAGATTACTGTCTAATTTTTTTATCAATCAATCACGCTTTTTTAGATTTTTTCAACACAAACAAAATCGTACCATTTAAAGCAAATTTAACTGGCTACTTAAGAAATACGATGAGATAATTCTACGCGACATTAATACGATCTGTTATTATGTTTCATTTCCTCCAAGTGATAAACGATCACATTATTGTTCGAAGCTCCTTTCGGCTGTTAAACCTCCGTCTCACTCCTTCCTGCCCAAATACTCCTGTCATCCTATCCCATCACACTCAACCTTCGATTAGTATCACGTAGTTCTCAATCCCTCGAATTTCTCGTCTCTCATCTCTTCCTCCAATCCTGAAAATAATTTTTTTACACTCAAGCCTAATTGGTTTAAAAATTTATCCTCTACTATGATTCCAGATGATATTATATCTTTGCTTCAACTTGGCTAAAAGTTTAGTTTGCCCTTCAGCCTCGCAGACTAATAAAGTAACAAAAACGCTTAACAATATAGAAATTCTTCTATTAGAAAAAACTTACTTGATAAATACTTTCTCCTATTCTGATAATATTGAACATGAGATTTAAGAATAGAAATAGTAGTATTACAATAATTAATAGATTTTAAAAATAATATTACGAGGCAATGAGCCGGAATCGCGTATCATGTGGCGACAAAATAAAAGATAGCACCTATACGTTATTTTGGCAAGGACAATATAGTAGAAATAACGTATGAATTAAGTGCAAATTTATTAACATAATATCAAACGTTTCTGCCCATATCGGGTTCTCTTCAGTGAAAAAATTTATATAAATGAATAGTAGTAAACGATAAAGTCGAGCAGAATTAAAATTAAAGACATACAAATTGATATAAAAAAATTCGCAAGTGCAAAATAAGTACAACAATCTCAGTAAGTCTGCGTACGTGTGCAGACATGGCGCTCATCAAAATTATAACAGAATGTGAGTTGCGTATACAATGATGAAAAAATAATATCATAGATAAGTCGTTACAATTTTGAAAACAGAGGTGGTAATTCAAGAACAATTGTATAAAGAAAAAAGAGGTGATACAGATTCAAATTAAAAGAGGTGATACAGATTCAAATTAAAAGTAATGATTGAAAACAATTGAATATAACAGAAAGAGTAAAGAAAAATTACTGTTAAAAAATTCGTACAATAATGATATCGTGAATAAAAGCTGCAGAAGGACGATGGAAACGAAGACAAAGAAAAGTGAAATAACGCTCACCGAAACTGCTATAAAAGATAGTATGGAAGAGCAGATAGAATAAGGCATGTTCCAAATATACGGAGCATCGAATTATGTGTGTCGAAAGATCGCAAGTTCGAACGGTAATGAGACGCGTATGCCGAAATATCGAAACTGGCTGTTGGCAAGGGAGGGGATGGATGGGTAGCGTGAACGCGGGTGGAAGTGAATCGGGAGCCAAGAGAACGGGGAAAGCGTGAAGAGGGGGGCAAAGGGAGGGAGGAGAGGAACAGCGTAGAGAGAACATAAATGAAAAATTAAATTAATTATGAGAAGGGAAAAGCACTAATTCTTTTTAAAATGGGAAAGTAAGAGTTGTTTAATTTATCAATATCGTCTTTTATATTAATACTGTGAGCTTGTTTTTTGATGTGTAGCATTTCAGATATTAATCTCTTAATATAGTGCGGTTCATTATCTAAAATAGAGACATTCTGCCAGTCAAATTCATGGCCTGCTAATCTATGTTCAGACACGACTCTCAGATTAGCTGAGGGATTATCTATGTTAGATTGATGTTCTTTAATATGAGTTCTCAGTTGTCTCTTGGTTTGTCCAACATAGAAGGCATTACGATCTAGACAATTAATCTTGTAAACCACATTGGACTTATATTCATTAGATAGAGAGTCCTTATCCACTTTTATAAACTGATTTAATCTATTGAGGATAAGAAAGGCTAAGTTTTTATTGAGTTGATGTGACAGAGGTGTAAATTTGGAAGAAATATTTTTGATAAACGAAATAGGATGGGGGGGAAGAATCAGGTAGAAGGATGAGGAGGAGGAGAAGAAGGGAGGATTTCGAGTAGAAAGAATGAAATTGCGGATTCTATTGCCAATGACACTAAATATAAAATTAAGCGGGTAACTGTTTTCAATTAAAATTTTGATGACGATATGAAAATTTTTTTCATGGAAAAGTGGGTGAGAGATATGGAGCATTTTATCAGTTAAGCTTACAATAATGCCCTTCTTATGAGCAATAAGATAATAATAATAATTTTTAATAGTAATGACAGTAATTAGTAATAAATAATAATTATTTATTATTAATAATTAATAATCAATTATATTGTAATAATTTTTATATAGTTTATATATATATATATATTTCTTAAATTTATACCTCTTACAAAGTTTCCATATGTTAAATCGACATATCTCTTCTGTTATTTATCATAAAAATGTAAGAATAACATTTCCTTTTAATTAAATTTAACATTGTAAATATGTTAATTTAACATAAACTTTATTTCCAGATCAAATTTAAGTGTTACACTTTTGTGTTAATTTTTAAACATATTACTTGTGTTATTTATTTACATACTTGCCTTCTGTTAAATTAACATTAAAATTAGAGTGGATAAATTGGGACATGAAATATGTTAAATTTAACACAAAATTTTTTACTGTGTAATTAAATTTTCTTTCAAATTATTATTAAAAAAATAATTTAAAAAATTTACAAACGTTTATAAAATTAATAATAAATAAACAAGAAACAGAAATGCAGAATATAATAATTTACAATATACACGGTGGGCCATTTTAATCGATGCACCTGAATATCTCCGTTGGTAAGCCGAATACAAAAAAATTGTTCAGACAAAAGTTGTTCAGGACAAAGCCCATACAGCACATGAACATTGAATAAACATCTCAGAAACATTGCAATACAATTTTGCAATGTTGCATCAACGTTATAAAATATAGATTCAACGTTGAAAATAAATTACAGAAACGTCTAATGTCCGCTGAATTGCAATGTCTTGTAAATGTAGCAATTCAACATTCAAAAAACATTTATTTAATATTGATTTAATGTTGATTTAATATTGATTTAATATTGATAAATATTGACTTAATGGTTGCTTAGCAGTTGTAAAACATTTTTTTACAACTGTTAAAAGTTTTCTGTGTTGAGATTAGATTTTTTTAAGTCTAAAAAATTAATCCAATCTCAATTTAAGAAAACTTTTAATAGTTGTAAATAAAATGTTCTACTAAATACATCTATACATATATATTATGCGATTTCATAATAAATAACTTCATAATAAAATGTTAAATTTGTATAAAGATATTTTATTTAAAAAATATTATATATATATATATATATATATATATATATATATTACTCTCCATTATTAATTAATTATTATAATAAAAAGTTACATACATATATGAGTTGATAATTATAAAAGATTATTATGAGTTATGTGATGATGACGAGGTCGCTGTTTTCTTCAATATATCGACATTTTCTAAACACACATTACATTAATGAATTGTATAATTATACATTATGTACACATTTTATTTATATATAAAAAAAAATTATGTACATACTTTCTCTCGCGACGAGCTTTGGCTTGTACTAGCCATTTTGCGATAATTTGGGCAATCTCCGTCTCAGTCGTATCTTTATAATGAACGCGGACAGTTTCTATTGTAGTTCCATAAAATTAGTAACATATTAATACCAATATAACATGCTGACACATAATCAAGGAGAAGTTAAGTCTTAAAAATCTGTAATAGTATAACACTTACTAAGTATGATTTTATACAAAATCAAATCTTGAAAAGCCTTTTTCTTTTTTGCTCCAGCCATGCTGTACATTTCAGCCAAGGGATTAGTTATCAACTTTTTCAATAAATTAATCGTGCAAGAATGCACATCGAAACCTCCCAAGCCTTTTAATGTATATACCTATGATATAAAATAAATAATTTAAAAAATACATATTGATAAATATTAATTTAACAGTGATTTAGCAGAACATTTTTTTACAACTGTTGAAAGTTTTCTGTGTTGAGATTAGATTTATCTAGGTCTAAAAAAATAATCTAATCTCAATTCAGAAAATTGCCAACAGTTGTAAAAACGTTCTGCTAAATGCACTTATTTCATGATTTTATAAATAACATGTACACTTTATAAAATATTAAATTTGTATATATATATATAAAGATATTCTATTTAAAATATATAACTTTCTAAATATTCAAAATGTTCTTTGCATCGCGAGCAAATATAATAACAATATTTAAATATTTAAATATTTAAAAATACAAATTTAAATATTTAAAAACAATATTTAAAAATATTTAAAGGTAAGAAATAACATACTATGCTTTCAAAAAATTCTTTGTTCTTCAATTTTGTTTCTAAAATATCCAATGTCAATCATTATGCAAAGGTAATCCTATTTCTTCATCTTGAAGAATATCATCTTCACGTCTGTCAAGGCTGAAACGACATTGCTCTTCGTGAATCTCCAGTCTCTTGTCCACCATTTTTACTTGATGAATAATAATGTTCAGTTTGCGAAGTATTTCTGTTTGAAAATCTGCATAATAAATTTTAAATCCTTTATATGAATACATAGGAACGACCAATCGGCGCAATAATATATATATTTTATGTAAAAAATACCAATTTTGAGCATTGTAATGCATATTTTACATAATATTAAAATATTAAAATTTCTTGAGAAATATATTATTTGCAAAAGTATTTAAAATGATATGAATAAACAATTCTCTATTCTGTGCTTTATCCAAACATTCAAAAAGTACACAAATGGAAATAACTTAATGATTAGAATGAATAATAAAAAATAATTATTTTGCAGATTCACTCTAATCAATAATTTGTTCGCCTAAAATTTTGTAAAAAATGTTTATTTTGTTTTAACTATACTTAACTATGACTAAATATTTACCTGTTTTACATGATGATGTAGATTGTTTGCCCGTACATGAAATATCAGATTGCACGCTACTGGAAGATTCCTTCGTACTATATTTATTAAAATTATATAATGATGAATTAATATCAGTATTGCTTGTTTGATTGTGAAATATCTTTTTTTTCTTTTCTGGTAGCGTCTGTGTCTGTTTTACAATTGATAATGTGGGCAAAGGCGGAATTTTACTGGGTTTTTTTTTACAGATTTCTTGAGTTGTACGTGATTTCTCTTCAGAATCTTCCTCTTCAGTAGCTTCATTTTCAAAATCTTCCTCCTCAGAACTAGAAGTAAATCTTCTTTTCCCCCGATTACGTCTACACATTTTTTTGTCAATATCATCTTTCCCAGACTCAATATCAGAAATTTGTTCAGCCAATTTCAGTTTTCGCATGCCGTTTGTATATGTATCTGAAATAATATAGTATTTAATAAAATACATATTGTTAATATCGAACTGAGAAAGATGTTTTGTGAGAAATAGGATAGAAAAAAATTAATTTCTCTGGTGGAAAATTTCTCTGTCTTTTCAGACGTTCGGATTAGCTCACAAAGTCAAAATTTAAGTGAAACATCGACCAAAGAAATAAAAATTTGCGAATTAGAAAATTATAAAGTCTATATAACATACATTTAACGCATCGTTACAATACAGATATGTATAAAGACCAGTACAAATTCGTTTTCTTGAAACATCAATTTTGGTGACATTTTTCCACCAGTGTCATGGGGGAAGGGTAAATATAAAGATAAAAATATTGTAAAAATAACATAAACATCATTATACACAAAAACATAAAAAGGACATTTACTAAAAATTTAAACTGTAAATTGAAAGAAATATAATACCTGCTGTACCAAAAATTCGTAATATATCATATGATGACCACTTGTCATTGTCCGGATATTCTTCATTAAAAATAGCTTGATTTATTTTTTCTTGTTTTTTGTAATATGGCCAATAACATTTTTTATTATCGCTAAATATCCAAGACGTGGGAATAAGTTGGATTCCATCTTCGAACTCCACTATCGAAAATCTTCCCATGTTCCAATGTATGAATGAAAAAAGGCACTGTTTAATAAAAATCATAAATATAATTAAATATATTATTGCAAGTAATATAGTATATAAGAATTCGAGGTATTTATATGTATATTATAGATGCTAAAGGAAAATAAGAAATATAGAAATATGTATATATTTATTTACCAAATAATTTATAATTATATAATATATATCATTTATATAAGTAATTATATAATATATATAATTTATATAAGTATTTATATAAGTTATTCGATAAATAATTAAATTATTTATTTAAACAATTATCCATTTCATTTAAAAAAATTATCAATAGTAAAGATCTTCAGATTTGAATTGCGAATTTGAGTATTTTTACTTTTAATTGACGTGATTGGTTCAGCTGATAATTATTGCTTCTGCAATTGCAATTTAGTTGTTCAAAACAATTATTTGTCCAAGAACTTCGTAATGCTTGTCTATACTTAGTGGCCGTGAAATCTGCACAAACAATTAATATTATTGTTGGATAAAGTTACGAGATAAATTATAGGTGTTAATCAGCGATTATATTTAATAAAAGAATATACAGTAAAAGAATATTTACACACAGAGCTTTTTTTCATGCTCTCAGCATGCACATTGCTCATGCACTCTCTCTCAACTCTACATTATTACTTTTAATATCAATAATATATTTACCTGAGTATATATATACCTGACAGATGTTAAAAATTATGCAAGATCAAAAATATCTAACAAGTTAATATAAATAAAAGGAAAGAACCAACAAAGAAAAACAAAAAGATAGAAATATATACATGCAACATTTAAAATTAATATAAGTATTTAGATTTAATAACGTAAATGTAACATACTTAATTTCAAATACGTAAATGTAACATACTTAATTTCAAATACCTCACTGGAACAATTTTAACTTTACATTTTTTAATTATATAATAAATATCTTCACACTATGTAAAAATTATATAAATACCAATTATATTTACATTCTTGAAAATACCTTGGATGCAAACGAATAAGCAAGTACATACGTGTTAAGATTATATTTTTATTATGTCAGGCAGTATGTAATAGCGGAAAAATAATTAATTTATTCTTATAGCGCATTAGCCATAATTTCCCTGCTATTTCTGATATAGGATATACACATAATGTTTCATCTTTCGTCACGATTGTGATATGAAGCGTACTCGATAATAATGGAGACGAATACACGTTTCCTATCGGTATTAACTTGATTCCAATTATGTAAATTCTATTATCACAGCTTTCTATAATATTACAAATTACTATTGCTGTACCATCCTTTAAAATGCAGGTATTGTTTCTTTTATCTTTACAATTTATCGCATACAAATTGTTAAAACATCGTTTATATTGTATTTTTATTTCAATTTCTTCACAAAGTGGTCCATCAAAATGTACATCCTTAAGTGAAAATTTATCTTTTTGCAAAGGCCATTTAAGTGTCCTTTTATAATCTGCACGTATTATTTCTTCATGTCTTCGTGCTAACTGCTCAAGAGGCTTCTCATTTTTTTTTAAATGCCTCTTTATAGTTGACATATAATTTTTTTTCGAAGCGAAATGCACTAAACATATCTAAAGAACCAAACTTCTCAACATATGTGTCTGTACATATGTGCAAGATATTATGTATATTATAAGTAACATATTCTTTACCATAAATAATAGAAAACGATATAACAAAATGTTCTAATAAGTTCTGTGCATAATCCAAATATTCTGTAACCAAACTAGGATTAACAAGAATTGTAATAGCAACACGTAACGTAAGAAAGTGAACGTACATATTTTTTGGTAAATAATCTTTTAATACGATTGGTCCAGTATATAATAAAAATTGTCTATATTCAGTTGCTTTCCATTGTAGAGCATGTTTAAGACCTCGTGGTTTTCGAACGTGGTTTTCGAACAAAGTCATTTGGACACCTTTTTTGAGACAATTGTAATATTTTTGATATTTTTGCAATTATACGTAAGCCTAATCGTATTATTAGGACCTTTTAACCAAAGCCACAATAACTTTTTCATAATTCCTAGACAAATTAAATGCATATAATCCAGTGGTGTATTTGTTATTAATCCAAAATTGGGAATTTCATTTAAAATAGACTTTCCAATTTGGTGGTCTTTGTATTCCTCATTTGCAAATTTGTCATTAGTTCTTAGAGCATTTTGTAATGTTCCTGGAAAGCAAACTTTTGATTCGATCCATTCTCCTTGAATAGTGCATTTCCGACAAGAATTATAACCAGTATGTTGTTTAACTGATAAAACATATGCTGCAGCAGGAGCGTCACAAATTAAAGCAGAGATACAAACTTTAACTTGCACATTGTTATATAAAAAACCGTCTCGGTTTAATTCGATAGCTTCATCAACAAATGGTCGTAAAAATTCTTCAGCATGTGTTGGTTTATTTTTTCCTCAAAAACATCCAACAATGTAAACTTGTTTCGAAATGTTATCTGAGCATAAAATTGGCCAAAAAATTGAGCCTTCAATATTTTTTGATAATGGCAATCCATCAATATTAATTAAAAGACAAACAGTTTCATTATTTGTAATCTTTTCGCGATTATTTAACAATTCTTCGACTGCTCTCTTCAAGCCGAAATGATAATAATGACCTCCACTTATAGGCACAATATTTGTCCATCTAGGCGTATGTAACAAGTTTCTGCTATCTTTTGGAAAATTACAACTCGTATACTTATTTAAAATTAATAATAGTGCATTGATAGCATTATGGGGAATCCTAAATTTAACAGCCCATTTTTGGATGTCATGTTTAAATTCATCTTCATTGTCTACATTTCTTTCATATATTTTTGTAGACAAAGAAATATCCAAGTTATTTGAACTGTCTTTGCCATTGTAACTTGTATTGTCACTATTGCTATCATTATTCTTGGTAAGTACTATGTTATCGTCACATTGAATTGATTCATTCAACACTTTTTCTGAATGAATATTATCTCTCTGCATTATTTTCCTACATATAACCAGTATGTTCCTACATATGTAGGAACCAGTATGTTCCTACATATGTATGTTTCCTACATATAAATAAATATACACACAATAAATACAAATAAAACTAAAAAAATTATATTAACAGTTAGGAAAAATAATCTGGCCATTAATAATATATTAATTTACATTAACTTGATAATATATAGTAACTTTATAATATAATAAATAATAATTATTCATTAATAAAAGCAGTGTTACAAAAAATTGTAGTTTATGTTTACTACAAAATATTTCAAATATAAAATGAACCTAATCTAATGATACATGTTATGTTAATGATATATGTTATTAAAGCAAGGTTGACATAATTTGTAGGCATAATCTATAGTGTGTTTTATTTACACATAATTAAAAAAATTAAAAGTTATATAACTTTCTTACTTTAAAATGTTCGATTATACATTTTATAAACACGTAAAATTACACGTAAAATTAAATTGTGAACTTAAATATATTTCAGATTGTAAATAATATTTTATTTAATATTATTAAAAAATAAGTTAATAAATTATAATTGTAAATAAGTTAATAAATTATAAAAAAATAAAATGAATTAGTTGTTGAAGCAAAAGAACTAGAAAGTAACCTTTATAATGATACACAATTAATATACATGATGGGCTATATATTAATATTATAAACTCTTTTCTCATTATTATAAATAGTGATGATCTATTGTATTAAATAGGGATGACTTTTGTTTGCGGAGCTTTTAGAATTCATTGAAATTTTTTTATGTTATATGGGGATCACTCTGTATTTTATATTCTAGTATAAATTAATATTTATAATGTAAAATATCTTGTAAAATATTTATTTTTAGATATTACAAAACGTATATATTTTCCAAACAACTAATTAAATATTTTCTTGATATTAATGGATTTATTTCATTTTTTTGTTTATGAATATTTCGAACAGTCATGTTTAATATAGTTCAAAAATGAATATGTTACTAGATATTTGATATTAAGTGTCAAAATATATCAATAAATAAAATATTAAAAAATCTGAACTAATAAAGTATAATTTCATATATCATTTTTCTGCAGAATGTTAAAAACTTGTTTAAATAATGCTTGTTTAAATAATATATTCGAAAATATATTTTGTTTAAATATATTTTGAGAATATAGCTTAAAAGTTTGTGTCTCATTCTGTATATCATAGCATATATGTAA